AAATCCATAAAATTTTGTTAATACATTCATATAGTTATTTTTAGAGGTTTTTCGCTTTTTTCAAGCAATAAAAATTAGGGCAAAAAAAACATTAAAAAATTCAGAATCCCAAAAGGAGCGAAGTCAGGGGCGGGGAAAGTTGCTGCTTCGCTATTTTAACTTTCTCTATCAATTTATCTTATTACTTTTTTAGGGCTAGCATTTTTTAACTTCATCAATAATCCTCCCACACTTAATAAACTTACTACCAACAAACTAATTAAAATAGTTCTTTCTTTATTTTGTTGTTGTGGTTGCTGGTGAATTTCTTGTAAACTAGCAGAATTGTGGTTAATATATTTGGACATTAACTTATTTCTTTGCTCCGCTAAATCAGCATAATTGGTAGATTTTTGGATAATTGCTTCAATTTCCGCTTTTTCGGCCGCCGGAATAAGTTGGCTAATTTTTTCTACATTGATATTTTTAATTTGTTTAAGTACTAAATCATTTCGTTCTTGGGCTAATTGCTGATAGTTAGTAATTTGCTTATCTAATTCAATGCTTAAAATTTGATTTTTATTGAGTAATTCTTCATCAATTTTAATTATTTCTTTAATGTTTTCTCCAAAAGAGGCAGGTTGTTCTTTTAACTCTTTTTCTAAACGAATAATAGTTTGTTGGGCGACTTGTAAAGCGGTTTCTAAACTACTACAATCCGAGCCAGTAACAAGGGGAGGTTTAGCAATTAATTTTTGGATTTCCACAATGGCTTTATTTAAATCTTTTTCGTTTTTATCTAAACCTAATTTTAAAGAATTATTTAATTGTTGAACTATTTTCTGTTCTTGTTGAGTTAATTGTTGTTGATAGGAATCTCGTTCTTGCTCGGCGTTTTGTTGAGCCGCTTTTGCGGCGGAGTGGGCTTGTTTTTCTTTACTCAATTGATTTTGGAGGTTATTTATCTGGCTTTGGTTATTAATAATTGTGGTTGTGCCGCTATGTTTATTGATAATTAGGGTAGCCAAGGAATTTAAAGTATTTAGTTCCCTTTGTCCTAAGTCAACAAGAGTAGTAGAATTGTTAATGTAATTTCGTCAAGTTGGTTCAGCAATATGATAAGTGTTTATTAATTGGTTATTTAAGGCATTATCTTTGATACTTTGGTCCTGGCGAAATTGGTCAATTACTCCCCGTGCCGCTTGCTGAGCAGCAGCCAAGTTAGTATTTTGCCCTTGCCGAATAATTCCAATTCCTTTATGAATTAAACCGACCCGGGCTGCTAATTGTGCCCCATTAGCACTGGCTTGTAACCAAGTTTTTCA